TTACTTGTCGCGATTGCGTCATCTGTGTTAAAGGTGCCTTTGGTCATTACGGGGCAATTATGTTTGCTGTCGTCGGAGTTATTGGTGGGCCCGACCCTTCCCACATGACTGATTCTTCTGTTCAGGCAAAGTCTCAGTACGGAATAAAGGAAGAGCAAGTCATTGCACCTGTTGATTGACTTGCCGTTCTGATATGCCGTACTCAGACTTTGTCTGAACAGAAAAATCACTCACGTAAGAAGGGTCCAGCCCACCAAAATCTCCGGTGACAGCAAACATCATTGCCCCCGTAATTATCAAACGCATCTTTAACACACATTACGAAATCGCGACAAATAATGACTTGAAAGCGGGGACTGCCTAGCCGTCATGACGACCCCCAGCATTGAGCTGCTGATTATAGTGTACGTGCGGTCGCGTGGCCGTTACGAGCTTTAAATACTGCCTGTGCGTATATCACCCTATTCTGCGGTCATCTCTGATGAGGATTTCAAGACAGAATCCGAAACGTCGGGCAAATAAACATTTCGTTCCAGCGATCGTATCTTCTACTTCTGAACTGCTTCCTCGAAATTTGCCTGTTTTATTCTATCGACAAATTCCGGGCAATTTTGTTTTATGCCCAAAGTGTCACACCACCTGTGGAGCATTGCAGTGCCTTTTTCTTCATCCTTTTTGATGACGATGAAGCAGCGGCTAGCGACGGTCGTAGGGGTGACAGAAGTAGTTCTAGTAATATTACAGTGGTACTCACAGTAGCAGTAATCGGCGTCGCCACCACCTCCACCAACGCCGTTGTAATACCTGGCATCAGAAAAAAGCCGATCGTCTACAGATGCTATTGTAGATAATTAGGAACACGGGAAGGGTTACTTTCTGCTTACTATAAGCCGCCAACCAGCGATGTCTCAGCCGCAGGTGCGGGCGTCCCCAGACTTGTAAGCCCTTAGGTTTAATGACCCTGTCACTTGAGCTACTAGGCTCGTCCACGGTAGACTGGCATCGGAATAGGTAAAAGTTGAGCTGAGTGTGGCAGAACAGAAACTGATAATTGAGCCTTTGCTTTACGGCTGTGTATGTAGTATCTTAGGCTAACTCAACATGCGCCAGGCCACCCACACCGTCATGAGACGATGACACCTTGCGTCCTCACGCCTCCCAACGAAACGCGAGCCAAGAACGACGGGACGACATAAACTGATTGTTGGACCCCTTCTCCTCCCCTCTGGTCCCCAATTAAGACTAGAATCTGACCCCATTTGATCCTTTTACACCTCTCCCCCCTTTCCCCCTTATAATTACTGATTGGTTGTTTAACCTTTCGTTAACTCTACCCTCCCGTATTTTATTGTATTGTCTGATAATGAATTAATCGAAAAAGTTCGTTCGCCTAACTTGACTACCTAGTATCTATCCAGATGAATGAGTTTCCGCTGCTTTCGAAGTTAGTTAAAAGGTTGTTCTGAAAATACGGACGGATTCAAGAAACAAACCTTCCTTCTTCAAATATTCAGCACTACATATATTAAAAGTAGTCAGAGTAGGATCTCTAAGCAGCGATGTACCTCTGCCATTAATGAACAAGATTATCCATGCCTTATCGATAAACAAAATCTACTGCATTTGGCGCTAAGAAACCTCTTAATTCAGCTTTCACCTCAGTTTCGTTCTTGGAAGTTTTGTTGCTAAAAAAGTGTCTAGATGCTGGAAAAGTATTGGACGAATATGCAGTATGTAGTAGAGTCTCCTATTCCAAGGCATTCAGTTTGTATAGTGTTATCCTGGCAACATGCGGTCGTGTGTTGTCGTAGAACAGGACTGTACCACGTCGATTCCCTAATGCAGATCCGAAGAGAACATGCAACATCTTCAAGTGAAGTTAAGTAAACCTCGGCGTTGATGATCTTAAGAAAGCTGTAATAGACGCTTAAGGTTATCAATCAGAACCTGCCGTTCAGTATACGTCAATGCTCGTCACCACAAAACACTATTTTCCGTAAATATTCCCATGGTTAATCTTAAAAGTCAGTTCATAGCAAACAATTGTTTTCAGCAACTCGTCATCAGGCCAAATATTTGCAAGGGAAATGAGCGCTGTACATAACGATTAAAGCTGGAATATGTAGAAAAATCAATAACTGTCTAAAATGGGCGCTGATTGGCCACTGCGGACTATGTCCGTTTGCGCATGTAGGCCTTGTCAGTGTGTTGGTTGAGAGACTGCCGCTAGTTGGCAGGGGCGAAATGCTATCGCCACCTGGTGTCGGTGTAGGCCATGGAAGTGTAA